GGGGGTGCTTAGGTCTGGCCCACGGGGGTGCTTAGGTCTGGCCCGTGAGGCCACCCTGGAAACAGTGAAGGACCGGCCCATGGTGCCTTTGCCAGGAAAAATGGAGTTTGGGAGCCCATTTTCACTGGTGGAACCCTTGGGCCATGACAGGCAACCCCCCCCCCAGACACAAGGGATGTCAATCTGGCCACACCCACCATGCCCATGCTGCCCCCCCCCGCCCATCCCTGAGGTCAAACAATCCTGATGCAGCCCTCAATAGAAATGAGTTTGACAATACCAGGTTTGAGGCTGGTTTAGAAAAGCTTCCGTGCTCCAAATGGGTTGCAAACGTTTTCAAACCCATCCAGAGTCTTCTCAAATGAGTGGTGGATAAATTTAATAAACCTGCCAAAAAAAAAAAAAAAACCCACCACCCTCTGCAAACATTGACACTCAAATTTCATGGTGAAGTGGACAGCAACCCAATTGAATAAATAATAAAAATAATTTTCCTAGCCCTAAAGAGGGGTGGGGGAAGGAAACCTGATTCATGTAAGTCAGTGACCCCTTAAGTCGGGGGTCGCCAACCTTTGGGACCTCAGGGACCACCAAACTCATAATTTTAAATCCCAGGGACCACTAATATGAATTTCGACTGACGGTGGCTTGCTGATGGTGGTAGGAGAGAGAGGGACAGATCTGATCTAACCTCTCTCTCTCTCTCTCTCTCACACACACACACACACACACACAAACAGGCAGGCAGGAGTGGGATTCAAATTTCTTAACCGATTCTGTGGGCATGGCCTAATTTGTGGGTGTGGCTTGTTGGTCAGGTGACTGGCTGGGCATGGCTTGTATGTAAATATATTTATGTAAATATTGAATTTTTTTATACAAAAAAGAGCAACTTTTACCGAAAATCAGGCAAAGCAGGCAGGCAGATTCAGTTGCTCACAGAATCACAGATTCACTTAGAGATCTACCGTGTTTCTCATATAATAAGGCCGGGTCTTATTTTTTTTTGAGCCCTGACAAAATGGCTAGGCCGTCTTTTCGGGGGTGACTTAATTCCCCCCCCCTTGCATCTTCGGGCAGGCGGGCAGCGATGGCTTGGATGTTGACCTCGGCGTTGGTGGGGCACTTCGTATCGGGGTCAACGCAGGCAGCACCATATCCGGGTGTGCCACAAAAGTACTTCCTAACGGCAAGCCCCCCAACCATTCCCCCCCATTTTGCATGTTTTAATATAGGCCTTAATTTGGGGGGAGGGGCTTAATTTCATTTCATGCCTATAAAACATGCTGGGACTTCCTATTGGGGGAGGCCGTATTGTTGGAGAAACGGGGTATGATTCTGCCATTGGCTACCTGAGTCTGCACTGAATTATAGAAGGTTAAAAGCAGAGCCAAAGATCTAAAGATTAGATAGAAAGCAAGAAATCCAATGATTTCCTGCCTTCTAGAACAGCTGAGGGTTTGGGGGCAGGAAGGAAAAATAGCAACTTAGCAGGTAAGTTTGCCAGGTAAGGAGTGAGTGGGCAGGGAGGGTTCCCACGGGCCATGTAGGCGGCTCAGCCTTGTGTTCCCACGCAGCCTGGATTAATTGCTTTTGAGGGGTGCTCTGGGGGTGACATTTCTCTGCGGACCACCAAAATTTTCTTGCGGACCACCAGTGGGCCACGGACCACCAGTTGGGGACCACGGCCTTAAGTGACTTCATTTTAGCATATCACTATTTTTTTTTCCAGAAGCACTACATTCAAATGTTCAGTCCATCTGAGTGCGTCCTGTTAGGGCAGTTTGATCCCTTCCTAGGAAGGGAATCTTGTAATGCACTCGGGGATCGTGAAGATTTAGTTTTTTTTTTTAAAAAAATAGAAACCGAGGATTGAAAAGGGTCATTTCAGGCCAACCTGCTATCCAGAATGAGGTCCGGATTAAAGCCTCCACAGCAGATGGCTGCTTAGCTTCTATTTAAGTCCATGGAGGGATGATCACCCTTTGCTGGTTCACCTTCAAATTCAAAGGAAAAAAACCTTCAAGCCTGCATTAGTTACACAATACCCAACGTCCCTAAGCAATCAAAACTTAATTACAACGCTTCAAAAAACAAAGTACTTCCATTTTCTTAAGACAAAGCCTCAGAGACTCGTGTTGTCTAGGTAACATTTGTTTAATCGGAACAAAGCACAAACACAAAGCCGTTGCAATTGAGTTTTTGTTTACAAGGGTGCAGCGGTTCTCAGACGACAATCGTCGTCACGTGGACGCGCTGGTGCTTCAGCAGAGCCCCTTTGTGGCAAAAGCTTTTCCCGCACTCCGGACACTGGTAAGGTTTCTCGTGGATGTGCTTCCTTTGATGGTCGATCAAGCTGTCGCGCCGAGAGAAGCTTCTCCCGCACTCAGGACACGCGTAGGGCCTTTCTCCCGTGTGGATCCGCTGATGGCGTATCAAATGAGCCCGCTGTCGGAAGAACTGGCCACACTGAGGGCATTCGAACGGTCTCTCTCCCGTGTGGATTCTCACGTGCCTTATCAACGTTTCCCGGGTAGGGAAGTTTTTCCCGCACTCGGGACATTCATAAAGTCTCTTCCCTGCCCGGAATCCTCTCAGCAAATCATCTCTTTGTTGGAATATTTTGCCAATATCGGGGTACCCGTGAGGGATCTCGGCCCCGTGCAGCTGCCGATGGTGCATTAAATGTTCTTTCTGCTGGAAGCATTTCCCACATCTGGGACATCCGAAAGGCTTTTCCCCCGGTTGAATTCTCGGACACGGCTTTGGTTGGCCATTTTCCACCCATGTTGCACATTCGGTGGGGTCCTCCCCGGGGTAGGTCATCACAAACCCCGGCCTGTAGTGGTATTTCCTACAATAGTCTGAAACCAACGGTTCTTCTGCCATAGACTGCAGCTCAGAGGTTTCGTTGCAGATGAAGTTTTCTAGAGTATCTCTGGGCTCTGCGTCTAACGGCACCTTCCCCGGGTCCGTGCTGGGCTTGCAACTTTGTTCGTGAATGGTTGTCGTCGTAGGAATGTTCCACTGTGAGAATTCGGTCAGCGTCTCTGTCTCTCCTTCCATCTGGGAGCTCTTCAGTTGCATCCAAGGCCTCTTCTCGTCACCTGAAGGGAAACAGAGGAACTTCTAAATCTGCTCATCTCTTTCCTACGGTTTTTTGTTTTTTTTAATGGCGGTTCCTACCTTCCCGCTTCCTTCCTCCAACTGAATGAGAATGTGGTTACTAAAAACATCTGCCTTCCTGCCCTGCGATCTGGTTACGCCGGGGGGCGTGCAACCTTAAAACACTCAAAAGAGCCATTTGGATCGGTTTCCCACAGAAAGCAACCGGAAGCCACAAAACCTGAATGGGTGTGGCCAACTTGACGTCACTCTCACCCAGTCACATGACCCCCCTCCCCAGCGATGCCTTCCCAGGTTTTGTGGCTTCTAGTTTTCTATGGGAAACGGGTATTTCTGTGCCTCTCTCTGCTCTCTCTTTCTCTCTCTCTCTCTGTCTCATCTTAGGGAGAATCTCATCTCAAGGATCCTGAACGCGGTTATTAAAAGTTATTAAATTTATAACGAGGGAATCGCCTTGGTTCTCTTCAGTGGTACTGGATGTACATAGGATATGAGCCAAGGAAATGTTTGGTTGCACCTCACACTGTGGAAAAATACGAAGTACAAATAATCCTTGCTGAATGACCAGTTGCTTAGCAACCATCGTTAAGGAGCCCTTGGTAGCACCATGGTTAGAATGTCCCCCCCCAACAATCTGGGTCCTCATTTTACCCACCTCGGAAGGACGGAAGGCTGAGTCAACCTGGTGGAAATCGAACTTCTGGCAGTCGGCAGACGTAGCCTGCAATGCTGCTGTCAGGGCTCCGGCATCCACCCCCATTTAAATCGTGAGTTTCTAGCCACATCATATTAGGAGTGAACATGCCGGTGCTACCTGGGTGTAGCCGGCTCTGAGACACGTCATTCATTTCCCCCTTGACCCTGTTCTTCCCCCACCCTCTGGGTGTATATTCTCCAATGGGACACATCCATAGCCAAGAGTCATCAATCATGCTCTCCAGTAATATTCTTGCGTGCCAGAAGCTTTGGCCACCTAGCAATTTATCTATGAAAGCATTTAAGGAATGCACTACTTTCCCCGCTCCCTTTCTGCTGGCAACTCTAAGAGACCAGAGAAATATTTTTGAGTTGACAACTGCATTCTAACCACAGTGCCACCACGATGCCAAAATGGGCCCTTCTGGGGACACACGTAACTGCCTACGCTGCCGTGTTACGCACCAGTTGGAAGTTTCTGTGCACTCTTCAAGGGCAGCCCCAGATAAGAGCGCACTGCAGTAGTCCATGGCACAAAAATTACAGAACGCAGGTAGTCCTCCATCTAAGACCAGTTGAACCCAAAATTTCCGTTGCTAAATGAGACATTGTATTACATCGAGGACCACCCGTACAACCAAGTCACGGGTTCCCTTTGAACGTAAAATTAGAGGTAGTCCTCGACTTATGACGACAATTGAGCTCAACATTTCTGTTGGTAAGGGAGACATTTTGTCCCATTTTATGACCTCTCGCAGTTGTTCAATAATAATAATAACAACAATAATAATACTTTATTGTCATTGTATGTATATACACAGTATGTCAACTAAAAAATACTTTGGTCTTTTTAGTTGCCAGCAGAAAGGGAGTGGGGGAAAGCAGTGCATTCCTTAAATGCTTCAGATAGTTGCTGGGCAGCTGTTGGCACGCAGGGTTATTACTGGAGAGCATGATTGATGACTCTTGGCTATGGATGTGTCCCATTGGAGAATATATATCCAGGGGGTGGGGGGAAGACCAGGGTCAGGGATGAAATGAATGATGTGTCTAGAGTCGGCTGTACCCAGGTAATGCCAATATGGTCACTCCTAATAAATCAATATTTTTTTTTACTCTTGAGAGAAGTGGCTGGAGACTTATGATTTGAATGGGGGTGGATTGTCGAAGTGTTGACAGAGTATACGCATACAACAAAATTCATATAACACCCCGAGACCAGACCCAACACACACACACACACACACACACACACAAAATCCCCAAACACATCCCCACCCACCAAAAAACAGAAAAGCATCCACACAACAGACCAAGCAATACTATCCAACAGCTCACTGATTGATTCAGTGAATCGCTGAATCACTGCAGTTGTTAAATTAGTCCAACGGTTGTTTAAGTGAATCTGGCTTCCCCATTGACTTTGCTTGTGAGAAGGTCAAAAAAGGGGGATTACGTAAACCCTGGGATACTGCAGCCATCAGTCAGTCGCCAAGCGTCTGAATTTTGATCGTGTGGCCCTGCTGCTGACGATGGTAAGTGTGAAAAACAGTGGTAAAGTTACTTCTTTTCAGAACTGTCGTAACTTTGAACAGTCACTAAATGGAACAGTTGTTGAGGAATTAGCTGTACTTTATACAGTGCTGATTTGTATCTTTCGGCAACATCTGGAGCTCGATCTCAAGAGAAGAACAAACAACTGCGGCCCACGTCGGCCAATGGGTACAACTTTGCAACCATGAAACATTTGCATTACACTTTATTTTTGATCCTGCCTTGTTTTTGTCTATTTTAATCTTTTTCCCAGTGGGGGCAGGCGGCACCCGTGCTCTAAAAGAAGGTTGAAGACACCGACTATGCTTCATAACAAGAGCAGGACAAGTTCAAAATTAAAATTCAGGGCATAACTTAAAGACTAAGGATGATGGTGGCTAACCTTTTTGGGCTCCTGTGCCAAAAAATTGTGTGTACGCTTTGCGTGCTCGTGTGCCAACACTCAGAAGGCAATGCGCAACCCCCTACGCATGCATGTGCAACCCCCACCCACACCCGTCCCCTTACCTGCACTGCAACTCACAGCTGATTTTCGGCCAGATTGAGGCCTTTTTGGCCTCCCAGAGGCTTGAGGAAGGCTTCTGCAGGTTTTGCAGGCCGAATACTAGGTCCGTTTTGTCACTTCCGGTATTTCCGGAAAAACAAGAAGTGATGAAATGGGCCTAGTTTTGGGCCTGCAGAAGTCTGTAGAAGCCTTCCTCAAGCCTCTGGGAGGCTGAAAAAGGCCTCAATCTGGCCAAAAATCAGCTGTGATTTGTGAGGTAAATTTGTGAGGTAAATTTGCCTACAACTTGTGTGCCGGCACAAATGGCTCTGTGTGCCACCTGTGAGATGCGTGCCATGGGTTCGCCATCACGGTATTAGGGCAAAACATGCCGTTAGTTTATAATTGTCTTATTTTTGTTTAGAGAATTCAGCTCTGTTGGGCAAGATCGGGAAAGCAAGGCGTACACAGATTTCAGTACAATCTCTTTAATGTTCATCTCAGTGTCAATACAGTTAGAAAATAACAAAATAACAGAGTTGGAAGGGACCTTGGAGGTCTTCTAGTCTGACCACTGCTCCGGCAGGAGATACCATTTCAAACAAGTGACTTGCCCAGTCTCTTAAAAGCCTCCAGTGTTGGAGCACAATTTCTGTAAAGCAAGTTGTTCCACTGGTTCATTGTTCTCAGTTAGAAAAAATTTCTCCTTAATTCCAGGTTGCTTCTCTCCTTGATTAGTTTCCATCCATTGCTTCTTGTCCTGTCTTCGGGTGCTTTGAATAGGTTCACCCTCTTGTCTTTGTGGCAGCCCCTCAAATACTGGAAGACCGCTATCATGTCTCCCCTGGTCCTTCTCTTCATTAGACTAGACCTACCCAGTTCCTTCATGTTTTATCCTCCAGCCCCCCTAATCATCTCCGTTGCCCTTTTCCTCACTCTTTCCAGAGTCTCAATATCTTTTTCATAACATGGTGACCAAAACTGGATGCAGTATTCTGAGTGGATCTTACTCAGTGGTGGGATTCAAAATCTTTTACTACCGCTTCTGTGGGCGTGGCTTGGTGGGGGTGGCAGGGGAAGGATACTGCAAAATACCCATTCCCTCCCCACCCCACTAACCTGCTTTCCAGCTCCATTCTCCTGTGCGGGGCAACCAAAGAAGACCCAGCCGATCAGCTGGGATTCGGGAGGCAGAGAACAGATGGTGTGGGGCCAGTCAGAGTTGGTATTTGCTGGTTCTCCGAACTACTCAAAATTTCCGCTACCGGTTCTCCAGAACTGGTCAGAACTTGCTGAATACCCACCTAAGCAGTCCTGCCACAGAACTTCACTTGATCTTGATTCTATCCCGCTGTTAATGCAACCCAGGATTGCATCAACATTTTTGGCTAGAATTTGTCAAGGTGGAGTGTCAAAGCGATTGGAAACCCCCTTTCCCCAGATTATTACCAGTAGCCCCATGGACTAAGTTCCCAATCTCAATGGTCTAGACCAGGGGTGTCAAACTCAAGGCCCGAAAATCGGAGCTGGCCCGCAGGGCGCTTAGATCTGGCCTGCGAGGCCACCCTGGAAACAATAAAGGACCGGCCTGCGGTGCTTCTACCAATGGAAACAAGAGCTCGGGAGGGCCACATGCCCTCCGTTTTCGCTGGCAGAGGGTTGCAGGAGGCTGTGGCCTCCGAAAACGGAGCTCAAGGGCCCATTTTCGCTGGGAGAGCATTCAGGCCACCACAGGCACCCCAGACACGAGTGACATCAAGATGGCTGCACACAGCCTGGACCACTCCCCCGCAACCCCCCTCCCAAGGTCAAACACAACCCTGATGCGGCCCTCAATGAAATAAATTTGACACCCGTGGTCTAGAATGGGTGGGGATACTTCCAGCACCGTGTTAGTTTTAATATCTTCTAACAGTGTCTTTCATCATGGTCAGCCATTCGGTCGTGTCCGACCCTCAGTCATTCTATGATTTAGGATACAGTGGCTGAGGGTCGGACATGACTGAATGGCTGACGATGAAAAGATGCTGCTAAAAGATACAGGCAGTTCCCAACTTACAACCATTCAACTTACTGACTGTCCAAAGTTACAACACTGTAAAGACCGACTGATGATCGTTTTTCACCGTTTGTAGCATTCCCTACGATCACGTGATCAAAATTCAGATGCTTGGCAACTGGTTCACACTTATGATTGTTGCTGGGTCCCAAGGTCATGTGACTCTCCTTTTGCGACCTTTTGACGAG